GCTGGGGTTGGCAAGTTGTCCACCTTCCTCTGACCATGGCCAAAAATATAAGCTCATCTAACTAGTACTGACCTCCTATGCAACTCTGTCCAATCTGGTTCTCTATTCCTTTTCTCTCTGCTGCTCCCCTTTATCTCAATCCTTTTCTCTAGGGAACAATGTCTTTTCCTCTAAGCCTCACCTTCCCAGAGTCACTGCTGCCTCTGCAACCTCCAGATTTGAGATGGAAGACTACCTTGCTCCTTGATTCAGCTTCCAAACTATTGCTTCCTATCATTTCATAAAACTCTCTCTTCCTTTGAAGTTCATGCCATGCCTCTATACCTTATCATGTCCCTTCATCACTGTCATCTATGTACCATATACTGGTAAATACTGGTTGAATGGTTGACTCTGAATAATTGACTGGTTCAATAAAAGCTGTTTTCTTGGTCACTCTTTTTCATTTATTTGAGGCTCTGGTGTAGGCTCCTTACATTTCTTTCTACGCCTTTTCCTATTAGGATCTTTGGTGAAGTGTCCATGGAGAACTAAACAAAAACCCCAGTTTCCTCACAATCCCTTGGTCTTTAAGTGACTTAAACTCCCCTTCACGCACTTCAACTATACCAAGCAGATCTAGAATTGCTTTATGTCTGACCACAACTTTGTATGCATTTAGCTCTCTCATGCTCTACCTCACCCAATTCCTTGATACATTCAATTTTCCCTAATCTTTTCCTGGCTGTGCTTCCCTCTTTATACATCTTAAACCACTATTTTCAAATAAACTCAACACCCTCTACCCTCCTGTCTCCCTTTAGTCCTGCCTAATTCATTTGGAAGCCTGGATCACAATCTACTCCCTCTTTTTTTTTTTTTTTTTTTTTTTTGAGGCCTGGTACCACTTCCCAGTGTTTCTCTCTGTAGGATCTTCAATAGCTACACATGGCTTTTCTTGGCTCTTAATCAGCTATCTTTATCACATCTCCAAGTCATTTCCCACAAACCACTAACCTTACTCTGCCTCACTCACAGTGGATAACCTTGTTTCCTCCTTTATCAGATATGGAATTCCTCCATTTTCTGTCTTCTCCACCTATGAACTGGATTACTTGTGAAAGCAGCCTAGTGCTTTCTTCCTACATCAGCACCAGCTTTTCATTCCTATTCCACAGCCAGTCTTCCACAGGACTCCAGACCCAGTTCTCTCCTACTGCCTCTGGGCCCTTATTTCCTCAATTATTTCACTCAAAAAATATTTTTCTGGAGGTTTACTATGCCCTGGGCCCAATTCTAGATGCTAGTATATGGGGGAAACCAAGACAGACAAAATCCTGTCTCTCACTGGGGAATAGGGATTAGGGGTGGGGTGTGAAGAACAGACAATAAACAAGCGAACGCTTCAAAACAAAGAAGATATTTTCTCTTTTCATAGAGCTCTCTTTTTTTGTTGTTTAGACAGGGTCTTGCTCTGTCACCCACGCTCTGGAGTGTAGTGGCGCAATCATGGCTTACTGCAGCCTTGACCTCCTGGACTGAAATGATTCTCCCACCTCAGCCTGAGTAGCTGGGACTATAGCCACAAGCCACTACACCCAGTCAAATTTTATTTTTTGTAGAGATGGGGTTTCACCACGTGTCCCAGACTGGTCTCCAACTCCTAGGCTCAAGCGATTCTCCTGACCTGTCTTCCCAAAGTGCTGGGATTACAGTTTCGAGCCACCATGCCTGGCTTTTTCAGAGATCTCATTCATTGAACAGGGTGGGGAAAACTAGTGCTGATTTTTGAAGTAGGAACTCAGACTGGTTTGAGAAGTAAACCTCTCCATTAGTTCTGCCCTGCCTCCAATGTCTAATGACAGCCATCCAATCTTCCTTGCCCCTGCACTGTCCTCTAGCTACATCGTTCTTCTTCCTTACTCAAAGATCACTCTATACCTGCTATCTCCATATTCCTTGTTTTTATTTAGTTATCTTTTCAGTTGAAAAAGTAATGCATATATTAAAAACAAACAAACAAACAAACAAAAAAACCCAACAACAAAAAGCTGAAGAAAAGACTACTGTATTTCTTAACTGTCTATTCACTCTGCAACCCACCATAATCCAGCTTCTGCTCAACCAGTCCACTGAATCCACCCTGGCAAAGGTATCCAGTGACTGTCCCTCCACAGTTCCCAAAGTGAGTGGACTTTTCTAGCTTTGTGTTACTGTTCCTGGGCACTACTGACCTTCTTCTCTCTGCCTGGCTCCAGACAGTTCTCTGGGGTTACAACACAAGTTAAGCTCTTCCTTGGCTTTTTCTCCTCTGGTGCCTCTGAAATGCTGATGTTAAACCCAGTTTCACCTTTGCCCATGTTCTCTTTCCATATGTATCCACCTTAGGTAATAGGACCATATAATTTTTATGATCCTAATGTAATGTCTTTGAGAGTGAAAAAGGACAAATAATTACTATTATGGGATAGCAGGTGTAAACCAAGACTATCCCAAACAAACTCTGATATATAGTCACCCTATTCTGCATCTGTGGTTATGGTTTTAACAAATACCTGTTAATCATTTGCAAAATTAAATCTGTAGCCTTGATATTGACATTTAACTTTATTTTTCAAATCTTTAGGTTATAATTTCTTATAAATATCTCAAAACTCAGCAAAGTCAAAGCCCAGTTAATTATTAACACTCCTAAAACTTCTTAATCCTTGTATTTTCTGTCCAAGTTAATAAATATCACCCAGTCACTCATACCTCCAAGCTGGAGATTGTTCTAGATTTTCCATTCTCCCTCTCCTATCATATTTAATCACTAAATCATGTTAACTTTAGCTCTGAATAATTCTCTGATCCACTATTTTTCTCCCGAACTACCGTCATAACTGTTATCTGATGCCTTTGCTCTTGTCTCCTTCGACTTCATCTTCCCCATTGCCACTAAAGTGATCTACAAGTGATCACATTTCTGCTTTGGACATTTCAATAGCTCCCTATCACTTACCATAGAAAGACTGTCATCATGACCCTTCTGTTTCTTTCTTTAGTCTCATAACTTGCGGCTAGTCTCTCTCTCTCCTTGTACTCTGATGATACCAAACAGCTTGTAGAAACACATTGATATACACATCCCCAATAAGCTGCTTTTCACTTCCAGGCCTTTGTTCATGCTGTTCCTTCTGCGTTGTATGCAGATCCTCTTATTTGGCTTGCCAACATCTGCACAATTTTCTCTATTCACTCACAGCAGCCCAGAGGGGAGCTAGGTGTCTCTCCTACACTACCTGTCCACATCCCAACTATAGTACCAAATATGTTCATTTGAAAACATTTATGTCAGTCTTCCCTAATAGTTGGTAAACTTCTTGAGGACAGGAGAAGTGATCTGTAAATACCTGACAAATATTCATTCTATTTTTAGGAGATATCATCCACTGTTACAGACTTAAATAACAAAATTAAAGTAAGTTGGGTTAATATTGAAATAAATAAATCACTTCATTACTTCTGTATTTTTTCACATTTTATAAAGTCATCAGTGAAAAGATGAAAAATGTGTAAGGACTTCAGCTGCCAAAAAATTTGCCATGTTTTATACAATGATAAAAGTAGGTCTTAGAATAGGAGACAGGATGATTAAATTAAAAATATATAGTGGTAATGTGCCAAAGTCAAAAAACAGCAAATTGTAAACTGTTTACAATTACAGAAAATCATCATACTTTTCAGCAGTTGTTTGCTTTGGAAAGTTTTGCATAAATATTATCCAAAGCATTTTTTTTTCTAGAAGAGTTTTCTCATTCTTTTTATTATTATTTATATTTAAAAATACAGCTCAGAGGTTAGTATTGAATATCATAAAATCCAGTATCCATCAATCTACTCAGATATTTTTCTCCATTTTCCTTATGCTTCCTCTTATGACTTCCATATTCTTAAGTGATTAGATCTGGCTCGGAAGGAAGAAACTTTCACTTTGTCTGTCAAAACCTAAACTATTTGACCTTCGAGGCATAGAACAAAATCTGTAATTTTTGGATAAAATGTGGTACCCCGTCACTTATTTAAGTAATTTTGGGAAATTAAAAAAAGTATAATCTAAAATTTTAAAGAAAATTAGTGTTACTAGAGGTATAACAAGGGCATCTGCCACAACTGGTATTCAATGAACAAATAAAGAGAACCACATAACAATTTAACAGTCTCAATTTTAAATGATTCTAAAAAGTGTATGTTCTTCAGACAAAGTCTTACTTTATGTTAGCTTCCTATTTCCTAATTCAATCACATAATTTTGTGCACTTTTTCCTAATTGTATTTTGGCTAAGAGGTTTTATTGTGTGAACTTTTCATTACTTCTCTGAGACAGTAAACAATTTGAGGTATTTTGAAATTTAAAATACACACCGATATTTTCTTCAAGCTAAGGACTATGAGACTATTCAAAAGGGCTAGGCACTGGCTTTCTGGCTATTACAGGCACCCTAACATAGATCTGAGGAGATGGGTACACGTCTACCATTCAGCACTGTATTGAGAAATATATTTTTCTAAAATATAACTGGAAGAAAGTTAAAATACCTTTAAATGCAATATTTGTTTTTTTATTAGCAAGGTGTTGACATTATAAAAATAACTCCAATCCCCTGATAAACATCCTTGAATATTCCCTACCTGTCAGAAGGTGGAGCTCTAAACATATCTCAAATACTGGCTTTTATAGATGCACTTCACAACTGTGTGTAATGAGGAGATTAAAGCAGGAGTAAAGTCTTTAGAAAAATGGTTCTGAAGAATATTCTAATTCTCTCAGGATAAAATAACTCACATCTCCCAATGTGTACACAGTTAACCAACAAAAGGGATGTTTAGTATATTCCTTTGAAATTTCAATATATTACCCAACTATAAAAATTGAGGTACATGTAAATCAAATAATAAAACACCAACTCTGTTTAAAAGGCAAAACATTTTTAAAAATCAGGAGTATCTAGTCAAATGTAGGCAAGGTCATTAACACTTACAAGCATCTCGGATGTAGAGTAACATGGCTATGAAGATATAATCTACTAAACCCAGGCTGAGGCCGTCTGCAAACAAGGCATCCCAGACCACCAGAAGGTCCTGCAGGGGGAACTCTCGTCCAAACAGCAGCCGCACCCACCTTCTGGAAAGAAACAAAACAAAAATTCAGAAGACAGTACTTTCGAGAGTAATGTAAAGAGTGATCATTTTCTCAGGTAACTGTGAAAAACTATTAACTGAACACACTGAGCAAATATTATATATCAAAAATATAATATAGTAAAACCTAATTTTTAAGCTTTCAAATGAATTTTATAATTGTATAACTAGGCCATAATCATTAAATGCTATTATATACACAAGTATTACACACATATTTGAAAAAAGTCAAAATCTTTCATATTTAATAGAAATCACAAATTCCCAAAAGGTGAAGAGAAAATGAATATTTAGTAGTCTAGTAGTTGCTTTCACAGGTAAGGTTGTAAGTTAAAAATAAAATTTTCCAAAATGTCGTGATCTCTACTGATTTACTGTTGTTGTTAATTGCCCTTTTGCAAATGTTTATATGACAAATCTGATACAAACTTAGAAAACTGCATTCTCACATCTCACTTCTATTTAAAATAATTCATTTTAAAATTAAGTGTGGGAAAAGGCCAGTAGATATCTATTTTTTTTGGCCAAGCATAGATAGTTATTTTAAATGAAAGATATAGTCATACTTAATTTTTTGAGCTTTGCAACCGATATACTTGATCAGTAAGGCTACCTTTCTAGGAGTGCTTTTCAAAGTTACTTCTATTACCTAGAAAATGAATATCTACGCCACAGAGTAAACATAAGCAGCTAAGCAACATCAATGTATAAATATACATCATAAATAGTGACACTTTAGACTTTCAATAAATGCTAAACTCTTTATATCTAATTCTTACAAGAAAAAAATTTGGTTTGATGTTTTTATTCATTGACCTCTAATTTTACATGACATGGCTACAATTTCCTTACATAAATCTTCTTCTAAGGACTTCAGCTAGAATTCTATGTGATTCTAGCACATAGCAAAAGAGTAAAAATTTCAAATTTCTAGCAGCATCAAATAATATAGAATAAATCCTTTAAAAATTAGTAAAGAGATGCTACTTCTATGTAAAATTTGAAACCAAATATAACCATCTATGGGGTTAAAGCAAGGCAAAAAAAAAATCGTACTTTCCTCAGAGAGTAATATATTTAAGGAGAAATCAAAGATATGACAAAATACTGTATACTCACAAATATGTATCATAGTTTACTAGGAACTATGTGATTGAACACTTAAGATTTTTTATTCACATCATCATATTAATCAATATAATAATTAGATTGTATTTTCAACTATATCAATTACTCAATTTTTCAGTATAAAAAATTAAAATGCCCAATACTTATCTTTTTAAAAATGTTACAGTATCTTTTATAATTTCCCATTTTAAAATATTTTAAATGTTTTAAATGTTCAAATTTAAAAAATGTTACAGTGTCTTTCATAATTTTTATCTTTTATAATTTTCAATTTTTACTCTGCTACTATTAATTAAATGAGGGGTGGTTAACACAATTTTTTTTGGTCTAAGATGGCTCTGTTTACATGGCTTATGAAAAAAAAATACTTCTCCACACACTTCTAATTCTTTCAAATTACAAAGGCTAATATTTACTATTCGAAGAAGTACAAAAACATCTCTAAATTAAATAGGCCGCTATTCTCAATTACAAAGAATTAACTGATATTGCAAAGAGTATCAGGGGAACCAGAGATGGGCACAGCAAAAAAATACATGAAGTAAACCATTTTGGGCCCCTGTTCAAAGGATTTTTAACCGATACAAATGTTTGCATTCTTAAACAACTAAAACATGTAGAACATGGTTACAATTATTCAGCTGACACAACTGGAAGAAAAATCCATCAATGAGGAAACTAGATGAAGGTTAATACACAACTACAGTTAAGAATACAATCTTCCCCCTCTTTCCTTACAGCTCAAATTCTTGCCATTTTCTTATCAGCAATCACATCTTAGATTTTATCACAGATAGTGCTTTAAGAACAACAACAACAACAAAAAAACAAAGTAGCCCACTTCCTAGAAATAATTTCTATACCCATTATTTCTACACCCATTATTTCTACAACAAACTGTCAGTTATTCGTCAACTTCTCTTGCATTCTTTTTGACTCTGAAGATACACACATGCAGCGATCTTCACTGCAGCAGTCAGGAAGGTTAACTGCAAACATCTAGTAATCTACACTGAATAAAATACATCTTTATTTTCTGTGTCAAATTGTTCACATATTTAATATCTCCAAAACTACACACAATGCATGTCTTTAGTACTTTTATATTTAATGTGTTATCTACAATGTGCTGCTTTATAAATCTTTCATATTGCTTCACTCTTTAAGTACCTTGCCAAGTACACTGCTGTAAAATTCCACCGCAAGGACCAAATTCTGTGTGTGTGAGTGCATGTGAAAGACAGAAACAGAGAAAGAGAGAAAGAGATCCAGAAAGTTCTTTGTAAAGACCTTTATACACTTTGCTAAGCGCTTTATGTATTTACAGAAGTCTTGTTAACCCCACTGTAAAGCCACCTTTACTGAGAAGCAATGGGATAGCTAATTTGGAAGTACAGGCATTGATCTTGTAAGTGGTGGCACAAAAATAATCCAGGAGGTAGAAAAAATACCAAAAACACATAAGAAAAAAATGTATCATTAGATGCCTAGCATATTTCTCTTATATAAAGACTGTAATAAGTTGTACATGAGAGGATATTAAAGTAAAATGCTGTCTCTTCTATTTTATATGTAATTATAAGAAAATTAAGGCCAAATTCTCAAAATATTTAAGAAGAGGCATATAACTAATGGAATGCTTTGGGACCAACAATGACCTTATCAATAATTTAATCATTTTATCCCAGTTGGATTTAGTTCTTCTATTTTTTATATATATATTCACAACACACAAATTTCCTGTGCTATTTTGGGCTTTCTTCATTGAGCTTAAAAGCCAAGGAAAAAGCTCTTTACAGAATGAGTTAGTAACAGAAATTATTTCAGTAAGCTTTTATATTCTTGGAAAGAAAAACTTACTCTAAGAAACGAGGTCTTGTAAAGAAGTCATTCCTACAATTAACATGCTTTTATTGCAGTTAAAAATATTTAGTGAGAGTTTAAGTTACACTTAAGGGTAGCATTAAACCTTTTCCCCTTAAAGATAACTTCAGTTTAACTGCTTGATAGTATCAATCTTGCTTTATGTACGTTACACCTGCAGACTGCCATGCTCATAACCATATATATTTGATCACTTGTGATAATACAATAATTCGTATTTTACCATATCTACTTAGTAATTAAGATCTGCAGAAAGAGAAAAGAGTATCCAAGGTATTAAATTTAATAATAAACCACCCAAAGACAGGACATGTCTCTATGTTTGCATTTATACCACTATCCTTTATTTCAAACTTCTGTGTAATTAAGCTGCTATTCCCAGGGGATCAGTAACTACTGTTGGTGTTATTGCTCGGTGCATGACCCATGGAAACACCAAGAGAAATTCATTTTTACCAATGAGTTTATGAAAAGGACCAATTTGACTAAGCTTTAAATAAACATAGCCTTAATCCAACTTGGCTGTAGTGGGTTATATATGGAGAAACAGAATTAAATCCTAGGTCCATTTCCCTATTCTTTCCCATTACTGGCTCTTTAGTGAGATATGGGCATAGTAACCTTACAAGAACAAGTAATGTAGAAATGCTATATTCAATTTAATTTAACAAACATTATAAGGACATCTTGAGTAACCTGTGATCATGAAATGATACCACTAGGTGAGCATTCTTACACAAAAAAGCAATGTTAGATTTTTGCTCAATGGTGTCAATTTGTGTTTTGCTTTCTGTTCACTTGTATTTTTAAAAGCTAACAATTTTTAAATAATCTATGCCTGCTATGGGATAAACACAGAATCCATTTCTGTATTAGTATTCAAGAAAAATAAAAGCAAGCCAAAAATGTTTATCTCTGTGCTTGGGTACTTCTTTGACTGATTTTAGGCTCTTATATTGGATTTCTTTGTATTCAGTTCTTTTGAAATTAATATACTCTGAATTTTCCTTTATATCAACTCTGTGAAAACGTCTTAAAATTGTAACTAAACACTGAATTCATTATACTTAGGGTCACAAGGCATTCTCGTATTTAATTTGAACTTCTTTAGAAAACAAAGTCACAAAAAAATGGGAGTGCAAAATATATAATTTTATTCCAATTTTACACTTTCTAGTCTCGTAAGGGCTCTGTAGAATACATTATTGAAGGATGCTTACCTGTTTGGTAAATTTTTTGTCTAATCAACTATTTCAATTAGGTCTTTAAAAATATCTGAATGCCTTGAGGATATATCTGAATCCTTTAAGCCATCAAGCTAAACTCTGCTTCAAAAAGAGAAAAAAAACAGAAACTTTGAATTACTGTGTCTAAAGAATTCCAATTTGCTTTCTAAGTGTTCTCTGTAATCCATGGATTGAACCCAGCTTGAATTTGCCTTTTTGGGAACACATGTTAACCTAATTTAACCCCCACAGGATATGCACATGAACTGTTAAAAGTGTCTTTTTGACTTTGGGGAAAATTCTCTCTTTCCTTCAGAGGGCAGTACGTAACCCTTTATTAAGGAAGGTTTCTTATTCCAAAAATAAGTTTCTAATAATTACCACCCATTCCTATTGTAATTTATTCTCCTTGGCAAGTGTTTGAAGCTGTTTTGTCAGAACAACTGTAATATGCCTTTGCAAAAATAGTCTGAATGTAAAGTAGAGCCTTGTATATCTACGTTTTTCCAGGGATATAAGAAGATCATGAAAATGTTGGCTATAGAAGATGACCATAATATGATAAACTTTTGATGCTCGAACATTTTCTCTCTCCTTCTCTCTCTCATACACGCATAGCTCTTTCAGATATATGCCTGCTATTTGGCTTACAAGTATGGTACTTCAAGGACTGAGTAACTTTAGCATATATAATTTACCAGGAAATTCCAATAAAGCTAATGCATGATGGTAATAGTCTAATATG